CCTGTTTTTTTTTCTTTTGTGTATCAGGGATTGAACTCAGGGGTACTCAACCACTGAGCCACATCCCCAGTCCATTTTTGTATTTTATTTAGAGACAGGGTCTCACTGAGTTGCTTACCACCTCACCATTGCTGAGGCTGGATTTGAACTAACAATCCCCCTGCCTCAGCCTCCAAACCACTGGGATTATAGGTGTGCACCACTGCTCCCAGCTTGACTGCCTGTTTTGGACTGTCTGCTAGACTCTTTGTATGAAGAGTGGCTCCCAATTTAGCTGTCACTGCTAAATGGGTGGCTCTGGAAGAATCTACATTCCCTGTAGGGACAGGGAAAGGGCATGAAGCCACAGTATTACCACAGTATTACCTTGGGCACCATTTGGGAACCTCATCTTCTAGAGTTCTACCCCTGCAGAAGACTGAGTTCACAGGCACCCAAACCATCCCATTTATCTCCAGCCCTGGCTCAGGCTAACTGCCTGCTCAGAAGCCAACATCTCTACAACACTCTCTGAGTGCTGTAAACCCACCACCAGTGAGCGAGCACCAGAGTGGCCTAAGGTCATCCCAAGGTCTGGGAGCCCTAGGGACTCACCAATCCTTCTAGAAGCCAGGAGAAGGGGCAAACTCAGCATTGGGGTCCAGTTGTCAGCACCGTGTGTCCCTCCTAACCTGAGTTTCTTCCCCTCTCCCTGCTCAGACCCATTCTGGAGACCAGCCACACAGGCCACAGGTGAGGACCAACACTGTAATGCACATACCCCATTGACAATCCCCAACAATTCTCCTAAGGGTCTGAAGGATGTGTGACCTGGCAGGGTGCAGCTTGGCAGAACCTATGATAGCATCTGATAGAGAGGCATTGACTTGGTGTAGAGGTCAGAGGGATTCAGAGATCAGGAGGCCCAGCGGGATTCTTAAAAATGCTGCCAAGGGTTGGTTTGTTGGCCCTTTTCCTGTGCCAGCCTGGTTGCTGCTTTGTGGGACTTTGATGAATAAGAGATGAGGAAGCTGATTAATTATGGCTTAATATGCACCAAAGTTGAGCAGAGGGACTGGTAGGGGTGGGATTCCTCATGGCATACAGTCTAATGACAGCAAAAGGCCAATGAACCCTCCACAGCCCTGAGGTGGAGGAATGGTAAGAGGCTCCTGGAGGAAGCAGGGGCTATAGTTGGTCAAAGAAGGACTGCCAAAATGTTCATCTACCTAAATCCCCAGACCTTCATTTCTACCTTCATTTCTCATCTGTAAAATGGGTGGTGGTAGAGTTCCCTCAAGCACACAGCAACTCTCTGTTGTGAGAGCAGATGGCAGACTGGCATCCCAGATCCCTGGCACTGAGACCATATCCCCAGCCACCCACTCAGGTTGGCATACTGGGGCTGCAGGTCTGGGTTTGCAGCTTGACCTTTGTTCAAGCTTCCTTCCTTGACTCCCCTTGTGCTTTTCTGGAGTGGCCCAGATCACAAGCAGCAAATTCCCTTGCTTTCTCATTCCTCCCCAGGAGGTCACTGAGGACCTGGAAGCCTGAGGTTATCCCACAGGAATGCCTGAGCACAGCCACAACAAGCCTATCTCTCAGAAAGAAAACAAGCACCTGGAGACCTTGAAAGCAGTGACCTCCTGTGGAGTCTGAACTATGTCCCTGTCAGCCCAGGGCAATAAAGGATCCTCTTACTCCAAGTTGAATTCTGAATGGAACTATGCATTTGAGTGAAAATTCTGTATTCTATCCTAGGGTCCCACATGGTCCTCTCAGTGGACAAGAAAGGTAGATAGAGAACGGACAGTGATCAGCTGACCATACTCAGAAAGATTAGTGTCTGCTAAATTCAGAGAGGCCAAGACTCAGGGCTGAGGTCGCCAGCAGGGCAAGGTCCTTTCATGCATACCAGGCTGGTTATGGAGCTGAGTCCTGTGGCAAGGGTGGGTGATGAGCCAATCACATGGCAATACCAGATCTCAGTGAAGGGATGTGGAAAAATGAGTGAGTTGGCAAGAGGCTGCACCTCATGTGTAGCAGGTCTGACAGCAGAAAGTCATTCAGACAGGTGCTGATGTGGTCCTGCACGACCTGCCCAGCTGAGGCAGGTCATGACATTCATTTCAACCCTGAGGACAGAGCTATCTGCAGACACCAGTCCATGCCTTCTCCCAATCCCCAGGGTCATCGATCCAGAAAGCTCAGAGAACTCAGATCCACACAGCCCAAAGGCCTGTCATCTCAACACCCCTGCTGGGTCTTCCCAGGAACCAATCAGTATAGACTTTGCTAAAAAGGAAAGTGAGTAGCCAGACTTTCTCCACTGGTTCTCTGGCTCCTCCCTCCAGAGGTCACTTCCTTGGGCTAGTTGTGCCCTTTAACCAGAGGCTCATTCCCTGTCTAACTTTCCCCACTGGCTGTTAGCTCCTATCCCTCTCTCCCCCTTAGGGCCCTGGGTGGTGATGACTCTAAGTCTGCCTCTTTGGAGTGTTCCACTCCCCATGCTGCCCAGCACCTGCCCACACCCTGATAAATATGCCTTACCAAACCCTCCTACACAGCCTGAGTAGGACGCTGTGTCCTCTTGGAGGCAAACTGACCATCTACACAGCTCTGCTCAGTTCCCCCTCTGGCCATCTCCCTTCCTATGAGCCCCTTCAGCATTTAATTCCATAACCAGGGATTTTACCACAGGTTCAGCTTCCTGTAAGGAAGGTGCTGACTAAGACTGGGGGGACACAGGTAAACTGCCCATAGCCCATGGCAGCCCATCTCCTTCTGTAGGTCTGACCCTACTCCCAGCAACCTGTAGGCAGGTTGCTGGGCCAAGCCCAACCCAGAGCATCCAGAGACAACCAGGCTTTGGCTGATGGAGAAAATTTCAGAATCAGAAGCCTCCACTGCAGTGCCGGTTCCTTGTTCCTTCCACACCTACTCCATCCCTCCCATTTGGGGGACCAGAAACAGCGTGCTCAGAATGACTGTCCCAGCTGCTGCAGAAGCTTTGAACCTATAGAGGGTGGAGTCAAAATCTTTAGTCATGGTGGGAAGCCCTGGGTCATGGATAATTAAAACCATTCATGAGTGGTCAGCATAGAAATGTCCTCTTCGGATCTCTTACCAAGGATAGCAGATAGGGATTGGAGCCCTGTCTTCAATCTGTCATCTAGCATCACATGACCAGTTTTCTGGTCTGTGGTAGCCCTTCAAGCAGAGCTCAGTTACTGGTCTGGGACCTGCTATATGCAGGCACCCTAGAGGAAGGGTACTGGCCTAAGGACTAATCATGGACTCCCACTGTCTCTGAAGTTGGTCTTGAGTTCTCCATCTGTAAGATGGGTGACACACCTCCCATATGGTTGGAGGAGAATTCACGGGGAGAAGGGCGCCCGCCCCGAAGCCACCACAAGGTCCAGCCTGGTTGAATTCAGCTACTAGCACCCACTGGAAAGATGATTGTGGATGTCCATCCCTCCCATTTGGGGGACCAGGAACAGAGGGCCTGGGAGTGTCTGAGTTCCCCTGTGGCTGGCAATTGAATACACTGCATAGTGACCGGGAAAGCCAAGGCTGGGACAAAGGCAACAGGGACAAACAAGCCAGAAGTGTGGTCAGGGGAGTGAAGGGGTCTGGACACTGTAGCCTCCACACCAGGCCAGAGGGTCAGCTCAGCACAGATGCCACCACTAGTCCCTACACCCACGAGGTTGCCAGTCTCCACATGCTCAGATGGGAGCAATATGGTTCTGGAAGATCACTGCTTTCCCTGGGGAGCCCTGTGCCCTGCTTTTCTCCCCCAGGGCTACCTCTGAGGTCATGTGGCTCCATTTGAGGGGAGGCAGAGAACACTGGACTGTCCAGTTACCAAGTCTCTCTACTTCATATCACCAGAAGATGCTGACTGGGGCTCCATCCTTCTAAGGGGACTAAAAAGCTCTCAAAATTAGGACCCTCCAGCCACAGGGAGGGGCCTGAACCCTGGTCTAGGCACAGTGACCTACAAATCGGCAGTAGCTCAGTCAGCCAGGAGTACTCTGGGCTCAGAGAGGCCCAGCTCCCAGGATTCCTCATCGTGCAATGCAGCCTGCAGAGACACTGGTGTGACAATTGGCGGAAGATGCCCAGGGTGCACCCAGGAGCCACCTGTGTCTGCAGGTAGATCCCAGCAGGAATGGGAGATGGGATACTTGCAAATGTATGTGGGGAGGGGTGCAATTAAGTTCTCTGGTCCCACAGCTGGGGCTGGTTTGGTGGAGGATGGGGGAATACTAAGCAAGTGGATTTGGAGGGAATCTTCAGAGTTTGGAGCCCCTATACCAAGGAAGGGATGGATGGGACACCTGCAGAAAAAGGGTGGGGACCATGCCTGAGTTGGCGCCCTAGGATCATTCAGAAACAGCCACAAAGAAGTTGGGTGCTCCGGAACTCCCTTAATCTTTGTGGCTACATTTTCATACTGAATCGTGGGTCAATACTCCAGCAAAGAGTTTCTGGGGGGAGGGTCCAAGCTTTGATGGAGCAAGGCAGGGAATAAACCGCGCAGAGGCCTGATGCATTTCTCCAAACCCCAGGCCTCAGAACAAAGATCTTGCCTGCTTGGGGTCCGGGCCAGCCTAGACCGCCACGCCCTACAGCCCGCGCCCACAGCCGGTTCCAGGACGCCATTCCCGAGGCCGCCTGCAGGGGCCGCCGCTTCTTCAGGAATGAGCCGCCTTTGTCTGAGGCCGCGCGGTGCGGGTGCTCTAGGCGGGCTGAGCGCCTCCTGCGGCCCGGCCTTCGTGCCCCAGTCCACCAGGCAGCCCGCGCCGCCTGCACCGCCCACGGCCCCCACAGGGTTCACTGTCCACCCTCCACCGGCCCTGGGCCCGCGCCCAGGTGAGCGCCCCGCCCGCCGCGAGGCCCCGCCCCGGCCCGCCCCGCCCCGCCCCGGCCAGCGGAAGGACCGGGCGGATTCCTCGCGCGTCAAACCACATGATCCCATAAAACATTCATCCGCTCCCGGCCCGCGCCGCTAGCGCCCCGCTAGTCCACGCCGCCGCCCTCGCCCTGCGCGCCCGCGGCCCTCGAGCCCAGCCCAAGCCGGGCGGAGAGGAGCGCGCCGAGCCTCGTCCCGCGGCCGGGCCGGGGCCGGGCCGGAGCGGCAGTGCCTGGATGCGGACCCGGCCGCGGGGAGACGGGCGCCCGCCCCGAAGAGACTTTCGGTCCCCGACGAGCCTCGCCCGACCCCTAAGATGAAGAGGGCGTCCGCCGGAGGTGAGTGTCCGTGCAGCGCCCGAGCGGGGCTGGAGCTGCGGGTGCGGAAGGGGGACGGCTTGCCCCCTCTCGGAGGCTCAGGGCCGTCCAGGTTTGCAGAAGCAGAGGGAGGGGTCGCCAGGAAGCTTGGAGGACCACCGCAGTGCCGTGCTGGGCTGGGGCTGTGGGCGCCCCGGCCCTGGGAGGGCGGAGCCGGCGGCAGCAGGAAAAGTTGCTGCTTTCCGAGAAAGTTAACGGCGACGGCGGGGCTGGGGGCGGTGGTTCTGGTGTCCCTGAACCAGGTCTGGGCCAGGTCTAAGTGAGGGCTGCGGACTAAAAGGGTGGGGTCCGGCCTCGGAGCACCCGGACCGCGAAGGGGTTAATAAGCAGGATTTGCAGAAACGTGGGTATTGAGTGCAGGTGGGGGCATCTTCCTGGCCTCCCGACTCACTTCAGAGCCTCCTGTTTCTTGGGGTCAGGCCAAATGGGGGTGAAGGGGGACGCTGGCGGCAGTAGAGGGCGTGGGGGACAGGGCGGTTCCAGCGTTGCCCTCATAAGGAAGGTGGTGAGAGGAGGCAGCAACGCCCCCCACCGTCTGCAGCCTGAGGTCCCTTACAGGACTTGATTGAGAAGTATGAGGGGTATTGGGGGGCTGTCTTCTCTGACAGCCCTGTGGGACCCCTCCCCCCACCGGGTGCAAGGATCCCGCAGTGGGGGCAAGGGAGGGTGGGCTTCATGTGGGTTGGGTATGCCCTGCCTGGGGGAGCTGGGGTGGGCACACAACCTGTCCCAGGTGTCCATCCCAGCTGGCCTGTTAACGTCCACTGTGCCGCAAGCTGCACACACGTTTCCTTGCACGTGCACATGTCTGTGTGGGCTGCACACTTGCACGCCCCACATGCACATGCATGCCAGTGCTGCCCCAGTGTGCACATGTACAAACATTATGGGTGCACTCAGATTCAGGGTTCATATCCATGTCTTTGCCCCATCTTCACGCCCACGTCCACACATGATGCATGCAGCATGCCTGCTATGCTCTCCATGCTTGGCACATGCTGGGGCCCATAAGTAGAACCCACTTTCACACCTACATGTTCATGTATTGTGGGGGAAGGGTATCAGGGACACACAGACAGAAGAGTGAGAAAGCCTCAGCCCCATGTCCATCTGTACATTCTGGAGTCTCCCCTTCAAAGTCCCTTGGGTGTGTGTGTGTGTGTGTGTGTGTGTAACATGGTATGCGTCTGCACGTGTGTGTCTGAGCGCATGACCATGTGTGCCTGTGAGCATATCGGCATGTGTTGATTTGCCTCGGGGTGTGGGTGCTCCTTGTGTGGGTAACCAGGAGAACTATGGCCGAATTTTACCCAAATCTGGAGCAGAAGCCCAGGAAAAGTAAAGTGGAGGTTTGTTCAGTGTCCCCATCCTAGGGGGTGAGGTGCAGTGTCTTCCAACCTCTTCCCCACCCACCAGTGCTGGGACAAAGTAGTGGCTGATGATGGGCTTGAATCCACCTGGGCGCCCATTTCAAACCTCGAGGTCAACATCATGACAAACAGGTTAAACCCTGGATGTACTTGACTGTGGCTGCAGCCAGCTAGGGCAGATGACCCAGTATGACCTCAGGGAGGCCCTGCCTTCAGCATCTCCATTTCTCCTTGGTGGCAGCCTTCAGGTGAGAGGTTTCAGGTGGTCTCACCTGCACCAGGTATTGTATGAAATGCTGAGGGGATGGACACCAGGCTGGTGCAGGTTACAGATAAGGGTGATAGTGATCCACTTGCTATGGTGAATAGTGCCCCGAGAGGGGGCTCAGAAAGGCAGAGCCACACGCCTGTCTCCCAGCCACAACCAGTATCTTCATCTGTAAATTGGGAACAAGTAGGTCATCTTTGTAGGTTGTGTGAAGGTAAAATATGCCAATAGAGGTTTGAGCAGTAGGACTGGCCATTACTCTTTACTAAGCCTCAGCCTTACTGTCTGTAAAGTGAGTACTGCTTCAGCCAAGGTAAGGAAGAAGCGAGCTCCCAGACCAGGGGCTGAGCTAGGTGGTGGTCAGCACCCAGACTCCACCTGGTAAAGGGGAGCTCACAGGGCCTGATTCCTGGGTATGGCATGGCAGAAGAATAGTGGCCTAGATTTGGGTCCAGGCTCAGCCATCCATTAGCAGTGTGACCTTGGGTGTAACAAGTCACCTCTCCCTGCCTCAGTTTTCTTGTCTGTAACATGGGTCAATAATCAGTGGTTTGGGGGGCACTTCAAGGCTGATGCCTGGTGGGGCTGGCCCAGCTTTCCTGTGAAATTTTGACCCCCATTTTCTACCTTCAAAATTCCTCAGACACCTCTCCCTGACCCATCAGTCAACAGAGGTTTGCCTGAAACCCTTGCACTACCAACCAGGCTCCTCCCTCCTCCCCATTCATAGATGGAACCCTGGGGGCGTGGTTGTACACAGGCTGAGGCAGGAGGATCACAAGTTGAGGTTAACTTGAGCCACTTAGCAAGACCCTGTCTGAAAGAAAGAAAGAAAGGAAGGAAGGATGGGATGTACCTCAAAGGCAGAACATTACTGAGTTCAATTCCTGGTACCACAAAAAAAGATAGAGAGGGAGAGACATCTACAGATGGAGCTATAAAAGCCCATTGAGGCAGACAACTCCCCTGGAGGCCACTAGTGAGTAGGGGTAACAGAGAAGGTGGAGGGCATCTAGGGAGCAAAGACACTGCAAAACACTTTTCTTCAGCCGGGGCAGCTCTGTCCCTCTGCCCCTCGCCAATGAGGGTCCTATAGAACCACTGAACCTGTTTTGTTATTCTGGGGATTCTTCAATCAGGACTGGCCCTCTTCCTGGGTCCAAAGGAGTGAGAGGGGAGAGGGAAGAGGGAGTGAAGTCTGTCCCAGCAGGTGTCAACAAGCAAGAAGACTTGTAGAAGATCTGTAGAGGAACCCCCATCACAAGGCTGGGTTGGGGCCCTTGAATGGGGGAGATCCTGCCATCCTAGGAGACTGGGGGCTAGTTCTCAACTGGAGGAAGGGCACAGTTTGTTGCTCGTTTTGATGCAAGTGATTAGCTGTCTGTGAGGGTCAGGGCTTGTGGAACCAAAACTTCCAAAAGTGTTCAGGCCCTGGGCTCACCCTCCCTCTACTGCCCAATCCCGAGCACCTCCCCCACCCCTTGCTCCTGCCCTGGCTTGAAATTCTGGCTTTGTGGCATGGATGCCTATGGCAGCCAGTACACACCAAAAGGGGTCCAGCTGGCAAAGCCAGGATGGTAGAGAGGCAGAATGAGCCCTCCTGCAGCCCTGGGCCTGTGGCCTAGAATTTCTCCTCAGGGGTTCTCAGTCTGTGCATCCGGAAGAAGGGTCAGGAGAAAAAAGACATTGAATGAGAGAGAGAGACAGAGAGAGAGAATATGTGTGTGTGTGTCTGTGTCTGTGTCTGTGTGTCTGTGTGTGTGTAGTGGAAGGAGTAAATGAGCAAGTGACACCTACCCCAACCCTGTCATAGGGTTACTGAGGGCCCTAGGTACTTGGTTGTGCCTGATCAGTGAAGTTCATGCTTCCAGGTACCCAGCCTGGTGACCCTGACCTCTGACCTTCAGGCAGGACTGCCCAACTTTCAGTAGCCACCCATGGTATAAGCCCTAAGAACTGTGCACCCTACCTCCTCTCCAGCCCCATGAGTACTCTCTCAGGGGCCAGTCTCTGCACCTCTTAGTGTCCTTGCCCTGTAGCTAGGTGCACCCATACCTGATCAAGGTCGCTAGCATCCTCCTTGTGACCAAATTCTAGATGTTGCATTTGCTCACCACCATCTACTCATTCGTCCATTCATTCCTGGTCTGCAGACCCTACTCTGAACCAGACATGAAGGAAAGTGATCTTCCCCTAGGGTTAAGTGCTTTAAAGGACAGACAGTCACAGAGCTACCACTGGAAGCCCAGCCAGCAGGGTGGGCACACAGTCCCACACCCCTGTGTCTCTCTACACCATCTCCGGAGTGCGTGGGCCTGGCTGGGTCCCACCACACCGGGTGTTTTGGGCTGCAGTTTCTTCTTTTGTCACTGTATTTTAAACATTTTGCACATCGGAAACTATTCTTGTTCATCATCCTTTACTGGTATGTGTGGAATCCCTTCCAGAAAATGCACCATAATTTATTTATTTAAACCTGCCTTGGCCTCTTATACTGGCCACAGCCATGTAGCCAGACTCTAGAGATGCAGCTCTCCTCTTATACATGTACCCCAGCAGGTTCTCAGCTCTAAGGATGGCCATCTCTGCAGGGGTTGCTTCAGGGCCCCTTCTCTCCTACCCTCTTCACATAGCTTCCAGCCTCACCAGCTACGTCCTAATAGTCTTCCCTATCTCCGGTGGAGTCCATGGCCCTGCCCTGCTGTGGGAGGATAGAGACTGAAATGATGGTGGCACTGACCTGCCTGTTTTGATGGCAGTCTAATGCCTTGTTCTGACTGTCTTGTTCTGATGGAGGCTGACCATGGTCCCTGATTACCCTCCTCAGGGTAGCTAGACCCAGGCAGTGGGGCCAGGAGACAGAGGCTATTGGTAGACCTTCCTAAGCAGCCTTGGAGAGCTGCTGAGTAGACAGAAACCAGAGTTCCCAGGTCAGCCCAGTTGGACCTGGCAGGCAGTGAGCCCCGTTCAGCACTCTGATACATGGACCTGGGCTGTTCTGGGATGTAGGGGTGTTAAGAACTGGCTTAGCCTCATTCAGATAGCCTGTCTCATGCCCAGGGGTGCTCTTTGGCCCTCCAGTCAATACCTCAGCATTCTTAACTGGCTCTCATGAATCACAGTCCATGGAATTGAAGCTCCACAGTTGGTAGATGTCAAACAAGGGTTTTATGGTCAAATTTGGGATCAGTTGGGTTAAATGGTGCTGAAAATATTTCTTTTCTTCTTTACTGCAGAATATCTCAGGGCCTTGGTTTTAGAGTGGGGTAGGTAATATTCTCTCTGATAGACATTCCTATGTGCCAAACTTCAGGGCCTGCTGT